ATCCGTTTTACAGGGGTCGCCCAATTCATAACAGTAGCAAGATGACAGTTAGGAAGTAGCAACAAAAATAAATTTCTGGTTGGGGGTGGTCACCAGAACTTTCCTTGCCTTTCAGAATATAATTGATTCTAATAATTGATTGAAATAATCTTGTGTTGTATTTTAGTATTTAAGACTGAGTTTTAGAGACAAATGGGATAGATCAAATCTTCACTCTATAGTTTCTTGTACAAATTCTGGAAAGTCATTAAACTTCTCTAAGTCTATGCTTCATCATTTGCAAAAATTGGATAGCTAACTAATCTACCTTAAAAGTTCATTGTTAGGCTCAAATCATTCTAATGGACTAGACTTAGTACCCAACATATGTTGACCACTAAGCAAATACTAGCAATTATTATTTTTATTACAGTCTTAAAATTAACTACCTAGTCATTTTGACTTTATTTTTGAGCATTTTCACTCTTGTTTTTCTCTATATTTGCTTTATCACAAAATAATTTTCTCTGATAGCTAACCTGAACCTTTCTGATCACTCGCATATACTCCAACTCAGATACGAGAAAGACAAGCATACTTTTACCCCTGCCCCATCTCACTGGAGTTCATAATCCTGGGGTGTTAAAACCTGAGAACCCCAGGGAGGGAATGCAAAATGCTGGAGTATACGGCTTCCAATTCTTGGTTGTCAATAAAACTTAAAGAGGAATAATCAATCTTGCAACATCAAAAACAACTTTGGTGCTCTATTGCTATATATATATTTTTAGCATGCAATTCAGAAGATACATATAAAATCGAAAGACAGTATATGAAGAATTCTATTTTCAATTACCAAACATATTGGAATTCAATAGACAATAAGACTCAGTCCAACCACAGAGATGTTAAATGTGAAAAATGTACATTTTAGAATTAATAAAATATGGCACTTATTTATGTGAAGTGGTCTGGGCACAAAAATATATGCAACGGTGAAAACAGAATCCTAATGCTACAATTACATTTTTATATATAATTATTTATCAATATATACATATTTTTGGTTTCTAAATTATAATAAATTTAAAATGCCCTGTGAGAATAATAATAATAAATATACTGATAACTTAATTCAGAAGAAATCTTTAAACATGGAATTCTTTTGTTGTAAATATATAGGGCTATGGGGAAAAATTGAGCCATAAAACCACAGTACTTTAAGATAAAATAATGCAGGGAATGGAATAGGAATGTTTTTAAAGAACTTTACGAAATTTCCCACTATTAAAGAAGAAAAACTATTTTTAAAGCTGATGATGGTGGCTATAAATCTGCTACATTATCTAGGTTCCCCAAGTAAACAATTTTTTAAGTAATGATAATAGTTTTATTTTAAAGTATGACAAGTTTATAAGAGGACAGATACTCTCACTTTGTCAATCATTTAAAGCTATGACAGATACTCTCTTTAATTATTTAAAGCTTCAAGGGAAATTTTATTTGTAAACTTTAAAACAGTTCTTGGTTCCCAAAGGGGTTACCATGCTCTGGTAGATGCTGGAATCCTCCAAAAGGCCTGCAAAAGCAGACACCTACCTACCTTTCTCCCAGGTTAGGGACTATAGTACA